CAATGTTACTTTGTATTGTTACGTAATCTGAATTTTTGAGAAAATCTCCACACGCCTATAAATATAACCAACGCGCCTAAATAAACAGTATCTATGATTGGGTTGCTGTTATTGATGTGCAACAAACTCTGTAAGCTATAACTGTGATTAAAACTTATTAATCGGGAAACTTCAGATACTTGACCAGAAACGTTCATAAATTTCGAACATTGCAAACCGTACTTTGGTACTTTTACGAAAACATTATCTAACGTCATCTGTGGAAACTCGACCTGTAATCAGTGAGAACTACAGGGCTAGCTAACTTCCTGTGAAGTGTATTAGGTCTACATCAACTCGAAATTAACTCGTTCATCATGAACCCTCGATAAGATATTGTTACATCTCAGCTCGTTTGATAATTTCCGGTAGAAATTCTTCCCGAGAAACTTCAGCGATACAAGTCCTTTCTTAATTAAAACTAGTTTATTCTTTCTCAATACAACTTTGCAATACACTTAATTTCTACAGTCACTTAAACACACGCTATAATTCTCAACGAACGACTCACGCACTTTACTCACTACCGCGCTTGACTCAATTGTCCGTCTATATCTTCAATCTCTCTGTCCGCTATTCAATTCCAATTAATTGTCTGGCGCACTTATATACAAGAATAGAGGACGCCTAGCAAATACTGCATTATTCCCCGATCTTTCTAGAACCCATTACGTGTTACCAGAGTCACGTGACTTCCGCTGTCGTAACAATATCAAGGAAGTTCCAGACTAGAAAGAAGACTTTATATTACTTGTAAGTTTGTAAAACTTTTGTATATAATCATTGTTTGTAACTATTTGTAATAACTGTTATTGTAAATTGCACTATTGTTTGTATATTAAAACATTTGTATAAAACAAAGAAAACTGCGTGTATTAATCTTGTTGGACAATATCATAAATTGGATATATATATCGGCAAATATTTAACTACTAAATCTAAATTACAATTTAACTCAGTTTTAGGCAACTACAAATTGCCATATGTAACATATTAAATTAATTACTACCTTGTTAAGAAGAAAATCCAACAAGCAGTTAGTCTCAGAGCTTCCGCTGTGTTACACTTAAGGTTGTTCGAACACATTTGAAAAGCTTGATTCGTCGACGTTTTTATGTAAGCAGGAGCTGGCAAAATAAGGCTTAGCTATTGTAAGTAATTGTGATATACGTCTGCACGTCTAAGTCCCTCTCGCGATTATAAACTTGAGCAGAAACTTATTGGAGGTTTGCCAAAATATGTTATATTGCGTCACTGTTATGGCTAGCCATATATTATATCATTACTATTATATAACGTTACCCGTAGCGAGTTATTTCATTATCTTAACAAATGGCAATTGTTTTCAAAAGACATGACAGAATGATATGGTACACAAAATTCTCAAAATTTTAGCATATTTCGTGTTGGTTTTGCTTAGAACAAATTTTAATTTAAGGTTTAATTTAAGGAAGAGCTTCCGAGTTTCTCTAGCTTTTAGTTGATCACGTGACTGAATATGTCTTTAAAGGCGTCATGTTTAACATTTTGTTTGTTTATTTTAGAGCAAAGCCACACTGAGCTATCTGTTGTGTCCACCGCGAAGAATCGAACCCGGTATTTTAGCGTTGTAAATCCGTAAACTTACCGCTGTTATTATGTTTGCTTATATCCACAGGTTTTACTTCAAAAGTAGTGGAACAGTTCTTTGTTTTGTAGTAGTTTAGGGCTTTGTTTTAAATCAGTTAGTTCCTTTGTGTTGTACAGTTGATGGGTGATATAGATAAAGCGTCGCTACTTCGAGGTACAGTTTTACAGCGCTCAATTTAATGTAGATTTCTTTCTCTTTAAAGTTTAACTTTGAATATTATCGTTTTGTTTAGCCTTTTTTTTTTCATGCATTTTTACTTCTTGCTTCTCTGATTAAACCTAGACTGTTGAGAGAGACTTAATAAAAGTCTCACCCCTTTCTATTCAGCTATTCACAATATATTAGAAAACTAATTCCGAGTTTTAAAGACCGTGACTTGGATATTTTTTGAACCAATTTGTGACAACTTCGTTCAGGGTCAGAGAGAAACAAACACGTATTCCGTAATAAAATATTAGTCGCATCTCCAGCTTTTGCTACCTCTACTACTTATTTACTCCGAGGGAAATAATATCACACCCCCAGATTCACTATTAATAAAGAAATTTCGACAGTACAGAATTCTGCAAACATCAAGATATTGTTACGTCTCCGTTTGTCAATTAACTTTCCGTAACTTTGTTCCGAGGAAACTTTAGCGACACAAGTCCTTACTTAATAAAACTGGTTTATTCTTTCTGAATATAACTTCACGATACACTTATTTTCAACAGCCGCTCTTTTACAAACGTTTTAACAACGAACG